CACCTTTGAAATAGAAAATTCGGGACGCATGAATATTCCCTTCATTAGACTTAACGGAATTTTTGTAGTGCGTCAAATTAAAAATTATCAAATTTATACATTTAGTAAAATTTTAAAAAAGAGATTTTATAATGAGCCCAATTTTAATAACAAAAAATTTTTATTTAACAAAATTCTGATTTTGTAGAATTTCTATTTAACTGAAGTTAGATATAAAGCAGATTTTCTAATATATCGAATTTTCAAATAACACAATTTCCATTTAACAAAATTGATATCTAGAAAAACATTCATAAAAAAGAATTTTTATTTATCAGAATTATTCTTTTGTCGAATTTCTATTTATCCGAATATTAACTTAAAAGTATTTTAATTAACAGAATTTTCAACTAAAAGAATTTCTATATATAACAAATAAATTCTTATATTTAACAAAAGTTTTATTCAAAAAATTCCTATATACAATCTAATTTTTATTTAATAGAATTGTCATTTAACAGAAATTCTTCTTAGCTAAATTTTTAAGACAGAGATGAATTTCTATTTCATGCACCGATACTTTTATTTGACCGAAGTTTTTACTTATCCGAATTTTTATTAGATAGAAATGTTAAAACGTTGAATTTCCATTTGATCGAACTTTCATATATCAGATTATCCACTTGGTATACAAATTTCAGCGGGAGTTTTAAAATCAACCAATCACAATAATTTTCTTAATAATTTTTGATTGGTTGATTTTAAAACGCCCGCTGAAATTTGTATATACCAAGTGGATAATCTGATATATGAAAGTTCGATCAAATGGAAATTCGACATTTTAACATTTCTATCTAATAAAAATTCGGATAAGTGAAAACTTCGGTCAAATGAAAGTATAGGTGTAATAGAAATTCTCTGTCTTAAAAATTTAGCTAAGAAGAATTTCTGTTAAATGACAATTCTATTAAATAAAAATTAGATTGTATAGACCTTTTTTGAATAAAACATTTCTTAAATGAGAATTTTGTTATATAGAAATTCTGTTAAATGGAAATTCTGTTAATAAAAATACTTTTAAGTTAATATTCGGATAAATATAAATTCGACAAATAATCAATTCTGATAAATAAAAATTCTTTTTTATGAAAATTTTTCTAGATACCCACTTGGAAAGATTCCCCGGAAAGTGCCCCCTGGAGGTTCTATCAGAATTCCGCCGGAACTTCCAACGTAATTCCGTCGGAATTCCATCGGAGCTCCAAAGAATTTCCGATGGGATTCCGACGGAATTAGGGGTTATCCATAAAGCATGTGATACATTTTTCCGCAATTTTAACACCCCCCCCCACCCTCTTGTGATGCTTTTTGCATTTATGATTAACATGTAGTGTGATATTTTGCTGACCCCCCCCCTACCCCCTAAAGCATCACATGCTTTATGGATGGCCCCTTAGGACTCTAAAAATTTTGAAAAAAAAAAGTAATCGGAATTCCGTCGGAATCCCATCGGAAATTCTTTGGAACTCCGATGGAATTCCGACGGAATTACGTTGGAAGTTCCGGTGGAATTCTGATAGAATCTTCAGGGGGCACTTTTCGGGGAATCTTTCCAAGTGCGGGTATTAATTTTGTTAAATAGAAATTGTGTTATTTGAAAATTCGACATATTACAAAATCTGCTTTATCTTTCAGTTAAATAGAAATTCTACAAAATCCAAATTTTGTTAAATAGAAGTTTTTCGATATTAAATTTGGACTCATTATAAAATTTCTTTTTTAAACTTCTATTGAATGTAAATTCGATAATTTTTAATTTGACACCATAAAAATTCCATCAAGTCTAATGAAGGGAATATTCATGCGTCCCGAAAATTTCACATTTCTATATATTGTATAAAGTCAATTTAAGACTTATTAAATTAAAAAGTTATTATGTTGTTTAGATATTAAAAAAAAATTACCTTTATAAAAATCTATTATTTAAACAAATATTAAAAATTGAAACTAATACCGTAATTTTCTATTACGGCGCGTTTGTATCAGTTTCGCGTGTATCAATTACATTGATCAAAATTACGTGTATTTTGAATATATGTACTTTGTCCACCGTAATTGGAGTCAATGGTAATCTTAAAAATGTTTCAATTACGTCGAGGGAAAAAATTTAATCTCAAATAATTAAATTAATAATAATTGTTTAAATGTGCATCTTTATTAGTAATTGTATCAAAAAAAGATTAAAATGATTTTTTTAAATCATTTTGCAATAGTTATATATATAATATAGTAATAATAGTTATATTTTTTATGAACGCGCCGTAATTTATGCATTTACCCTATATGATTCGCATCAGTAAAATATTGTAAAATAATAAAGTAAAAATTTTATAAATTCAGATTTACAGAAAGGGCAAATATTTTCAAAATAATACATTATTTATATATAACGTTTAATCTTCAGAGGGGCAATATATATATATATATATATATATATATATATATAATAAAGAGCTTGTGTCATATGAAAGGTGTGAATTAGAGGAAGTGATATTTGCCACTTTTCCGATTGTTGGCTTTAGGAGGGGGGACACTATTAAAAAAGGGGTACCCTAAATGGGCCATAACCCGCTCACGTTTGACAAAGGAAACCCATGTTCATAAAGCATATATATATATATATATATATATATAAAGTCATAAGTGGTGACGCGTTCATCACAAGTGCGTGTTTCCCGGGGTGTATTTCCTCGCACAGGTATAAGCATTACGCCATATATATACAACTCGTGGCGCGAATGGGGTGGTCCCACTTTAATCTATTACACGATATATTAATTCGTTGGCCCCAAGATCTCAGGTAGCCGATGTTTTTTTTTTTAGAAGAGAAAAAAAATTAAAAAGAGAGAAGGAATCAACGCCATATTTAAGAGATGCGTGGATCGCGTGCACTGCACGCGCTCAGGTAAAAAATGAGAAGATTCCGTCCCGAAAGGGGTCTGCTGTGTGATAAAAAAGTTAGAAGAAAAAAAAAGACGAAGAACCCATTTAGGTATAGGAATAATCCATTTGTGGATAAAGATTGGAAAATTATACGCATGCTTCTTTTTTTTATATTGGCTTTTAATAATAGAGATGATATATATATATATATATATACATATATATATATACAATATAAGGGAGGTTAGTTGTCAAACTGTGAAATTGGATTTTAATTTTTTATGTGAAAATAATTTTCTTTTTATTATTTTCATTAAAAATTATTTTTATTGAAAATAATTTTCATTAAATATTTATTTAATTTATAATTTTTATTTAGCCTATATATAGTTTCTTAATAACTTTTTAAATTTGAATTAGTAGAAATTTTAACTAATTTGAATTAGTGACTTATATATTTTTTGCCTTTGAATTAGTTATAAATTTCAATAATTTGATAGTATAAAAGAAAAAAAATTTTACTATTACTAAATTACTAAATTAATGTACTTAATTATAGTATGACTTACTTTTTACCTTTGAATTAGTTTGATAGTAAAATTTTTTTTTTTTTACTTTAAGTTAAATTTTATTTATTTTTTTATTATTTATCAATTGTAAGTTTTTTTTTTATTAATATTCAAAAACGAAAACTATGTCCTATATATTTATATCAAACATAATTTTAAATTAAAAAAATAAAAATTTTAATCAGTTAAATTTTGCAATTTTACTGTTAATTTTTTTTTTATCTAGTAATTGAGCAAGCATTTTTCATGAAGAATGGAAATTCTCAGAGCCTATAACGAAGGTTTTAATGCAGTCAGATTTCGCAATAATTTATTGTTGCAATTGTGTCACATTGATAAATATACTGGAAAAAAATCGTACATGCGTATATTGGGAAATTTCATTAAAATTTTTTTGTAAATTAAATTAATTTAAAAAATTATATTAATTTAATAATTAATAATTTTAATAATAAAATTATAATTAATTATTCAAATTATAATTTTACAAAAAATATAGTTTCTGCTAATGTATATATATATACTACTATACTACTACTTTATAAGTATATATATATACCCAATTAAAAATTTACTAATGGCGCAGTACTGGCGCAGTACTGGCACCCACTATTGGCGCCAGAGTTGGCGTAACTTTGGGATGATAACATTTAACCAGTATTGGCTACCAGAGTTGGTACCAGTACTGGTAACCACTATTGGTTCAGTACTGTCTGAGTACTGGTAGTTTTGTAATTTATTGTATACGAAAAGAAAGCTTTAACTGTAACAGAGATAAGTTCCCCTGCAATAGTGAAATCTCTGCTCCAGGTAATACTTTTTTTTTTAGAAAAAAGTGTGTCAAATTTTTAGTAACCCAACACAAATTAAATATTAATTAAATTAGTCAACTAACTAATGTTTTGAAATTAGTCTCAGGAAACTTTTTGTTTAAATAATTTTACCCACAAAAACGTAACATAAAGTACCTTTTAATTTTCAAAAATAAAATCAAAGTGAAAAAATTTTTATAAACAAAATATTTAAACAAAAACATTCATCAGGTTTACTCTAGAACTTTTTGTAAACTAGTATTAATCAAAAAGAAAATCTATTTGAGCCAGTACTGGCTCAATATTGGCTCAGTACTGGTTTGCCAGTACTGGAAGGGTGGTACTGCAACAGTGCTGATACAATGAAAATACCAGTACTGGTTCAGTACAGACTGTCCAGCCTGGGCAGCCAATACTCAACCAGTACTGCGCCAGTAGTTAACTCTGGTATAATACTGAAATTTTTGGTTGGGTATATATATATATAAGAAGATTGATAATTATAAACATTATTGACAGTACACTGTAAACTTTTATTCTATTCCTGTATGCTCAACTGATAAAAACATAGATAAGGTACTTAGTATTTTTTTTCGTATATTGAGATTTTCATTTCAAGGAAGTATAACGAAAGCAATCATATATTTTTGCATATAAATAGGACTTCGAGTTTCTCAAAGAATATTCATACCTTCAACTACAAATTGAAAAGAATAACAGTTATTTTTTTAACAAGTACTTTTTTACCTTTAAACAAAGTTTTAATAAAATGAAATTTTTGGCACTTTTCGTTTTAATTATTTTTGCATTGACAATTGTCACTGATGGTAAATTTAAATATAAATAAATAAATTAATTTCAAGTATATATAATATTATGCATATAATTTTAGTTTAATAATTTTTTTTTTTTTTTTAGAAAATTATAAAAAATAATTTTTAACATTTTATTTCATATATAGTAAAGAGAAAAATATTATTTATTTTTAGCGTCTGGTTCATATGGAAAAAGATGTAAACCTGGTAAAGTATTTAAAATTGATTGCAATGAATGTATTTGCGCAAAAAATGGTATGACAGCTATATGTACACTAATGGCCTGTCGACATCAAGACTAAAACATAGTTGTAAGTAATTTACATTTATTTTCTTATATTTATTAAAATTATTATTAAACTAAAGTAATTTTCAATCGATTTATTTCAAAATTTTTTTTTTTTGCATTTTATATAAAATTGAAAAAAAAAATTATTTGAATTGAAATAATAATTGTTAATATTTTCACTCTAATTACCAAAGAATTAATTGCATCAAATTATTATAATTATTATAATTATTTTTATTATTATTTTCAATCAAGAAAATGGAATTTAATTTAAATATATAAATATGTAATTATTATTTTTCAGCAATTTAATATTCCTGAAATTCATCCACAAGAAAAATTTTCATGAGATATAATTGTAATTTTCTCGAAAAAATTTGGAAATTAATCCTATATATATTAATAGAATAAAAAAAATTCATTTTTATTTTTAAAAAAATGTATGTTGAAAAATTTGATATTTTTGAAAAATATTAAAATAATAAATGTATTGCACTTTTGACTAATTATTGTTTCTAATTTTTTTATAAATTCCTCTAAATTAGAGAGAATTGTCCTCCTAATCGACTGTGAATTTTAAAACACAACAAAAATATCTATACTATTATTTTCTTTAAGAAGGCAAAACAAAACAAACAAAAAAAAACAGAATATACTTTTTAAAAAAAAAATATTCTCATTTAAAGAGGAATAATTTTGAATATAGAACAAAGGAAAATGTCGATGTCTCTGTATGATTTAAAAAGAAAAATCTCTTATATTCGTTAAAATATGAGTACTATTATTGAATATTCTCATTTTAAGAGGAAAATTAAAAATCCTGTCATTTTAAGTATATTTGATTATAAAGTCAAACAATAGTAACTACACTGAAAAAAATTCCTAACCCCCGTATGCCAGGAATTGACTAATTTTCCTGGTTACGAGAGGAACCCACTAGGCAATCTTGGTCAAAGTTAATTTCGACAATTAGTTGGAATGACTAGGGAAGCTTATCAGAATAACCAGGTATCTTAGTTACATTGGCTAGAATCACTTTGACTAATTAAACTTTAGCAAAATTGACTATAGATACATGTCATATTAACCAAACATCTTAGTTAATATAACTAGTAAACAAGGAGTCAATTCTACTAAATCGACTTTAACAATATTAACCAAGCTACATAACTAAATTGACTAGGATTCTTGATTAGGCTGACTAGATTTAAAGTTACTATGGTTAATAGTCATTAATGCAAAGCAAATTTTTTTCAGTGTAAGGAAAATTGTGGTGAATTATATGAAACTTTATATTTATTATATTCTCATTTTAAGAGGAAAATGAAACATCCTCTCATTTTGAGTATATTTTATTATAATGTCACACAATAGTAACTAAGGAAAATTGTGGTGAATTATATGAAAATTTCTATTTATTATATTCTCATTTTAAAAGGAAAATGAAAAATCCTCTCATTTTGAGAATATATTTTTTTTTGTGAAATCCCATAATAGTTTATCTGAGGAAAATTGTGGTAAATTTTTGTTGAAATTTATTCTTCTAATACACTAAAATTAGCAGTAACATTTTGGTTATTTTCCGATACGTCCCTGAATTTATATACATATATATGTATGCCCCTTGGTCAAATATCTCTCCCACTTTGATTCCCTCTTTTTGTCTCTATATGAATCGCACCCTCCTATGTTGTGTGCCCTTTCCCAAAAATTCCCATCCTGTTCACCATGGGGGTACAAGGGGCAGATTGCACAACCGTCCAGCGCCAGCTGGCCAACCCTTGACCTCTTGATGGTTTACTATAAGCGCGGACATCCCAAAACCTCAAGAAAAAAAATATCAACGCCATTTACGTATTTCTCGCGCGTTCTTCGTTTATATATATATATATATTATACACAGCTTCTATAACAAAAAAAAAAAAAAAATAGAGGGGGTTGATAAAAAAGTGACTCTTGTTCGTTTCTAGTTTCTTCAAAAATTTCTTTCCTGTCTAATAAGCTAACGAATAAAAATGTCAGTTGCATTCTTTTGTAACCAATCTTAAAGCGCAGATATTCTTAAAATAAGAGGAAATTCTTTTTTTTAGATTTTTAATCTTTGATTATAAATAAATATGTTACGCAAATAGTGGAAATTATTTTTTATTGTTGCAATATATAATATAAGTATTCTTACATATTCTTTTATTCTTAAAATAAGAGGAATTTCAATTTTTAACTTATTTTGATTTTAAATAATTTTTTCTAAATATAATATTATATATACCTATAATAATTACATTATATATATTATTCTTAAAATAAGAATATATTGTAAATTTAACATGAATATATGAATAAGAAAAATATATTCTTAAATTAAGAATAAACATTAATGTCACTTTTTTCTTATATAGAAATATATTCTAAATTTGAGAATATATTCTTACTTATTGTAATTTATATACTTTTATTTAGAAAATATATACTCATATTTAGAATATACCCGAGGCGAAATTTAAGCCCTAATTTACAAGGAATAAAGTAGGGTTAAACAGACCCTCTTTAGCTTCCTCAACTAGTCGCAAATTTCCCTTTCTTCCACGTTTGGATTCAAAGTAGGGTATAAAAATTGATTAAAATATTGAAAATTTTGAAATTGCTCTAATTCTATTAATTTTTTGAAAACGCTTCAAAATATGTTAATTCCAGTTTTTAAAGGGTAATTAAAGAAATATTGTGTGAAGAAAAAATTCATTTTGCTTTAATCAAAATAATTAAAAGAGTTTTTTTTTGCATTTTTTTGTACTTTTTTAATCGAACTAGACCCTCTTTAGCTTCCTCAACCAGTCGCAAATTTACCTTTCTTCCACGTTTGGATTCAAAGGAGGGCCTACGGGAGTCTACAAGATCGTAAAGAGGGCCTATTTAGGTTCTAAGGGAAGCTAAAGAGGATTCAAATTTCGCCTCGGGTATTTCTATTATTTTCAATTTATACTTTTATTTCGAATATCTTTTTATTCTGCGGACAAAATATACTAAATTTGAGAATAATCTAATATTTTACAATAAGTATATATATACTTTGAAAAAGTTATTCAAAAATTAAAAATCGAGTATAGGTATATACCTATATATACTTTCTTGGGATCTATTAAAGAATATTTTAGTACAATTTTATTTACTCTTAAATTAAGTGTAACATTTTGAAAATAGAAATATATTCTAAATATAAAAATATATTCTTATCATTTAGAATATATCAGTTTTATCAAAAATATACTTTTATTCTAAAAATAGAATATACTAAATTCAAGAATAATTTCTTATAAAGCAATAAAGAGAATTTTATTCATTAAAATTTTTTTTTTTAAATAAATGAAATAAGTAAAATAAATAATTTTTAAATATAAAATAAATAAATAAAAAACAAAAATAATATTACGGCCCTGTAGAATACAAGAGAGCAGTGTCATATACATATAGAGTTAAGAGAAGGGGCTGGATTGCATGGCGTCCATATAACACCACGACATTTCACTATGCGTGTTGTCTTGGTTCAATGGTCGATTGTCCAGCTTCAGCGCGCCATTGTAATTGATCATCGCTTATACACACACACACATAGTATCTGCGCTTGACACACACGCACACACATTTTTCCTCCTCAAAAAGGGGAGAGTGCATACATCGAGATATCGACTCTTAATGGCGACGCTAGCTGCAGAATAAACTTAACTTTGAATCATTGTTATATATGTGTGTGCACTGCACTATACGTATATATGTATGTATACATATAGCAGTCACATGGGGACTGGAAAACCTTAATCGTGATTTATATATATATGTGACCGATTGAGATTGTCCGAGAAATTACCCAATTTCGTTTTTACGAGCCGTCTGTCTTTATATATATATAGAAACGATTTCCTCTTAAATTAAGATTATTTTCATTTATAAGTGAAAATTCGATTCTTTTTATTTGTTTTTTTGTGTTTAAGTTTAATCTTCTCTTAACCCTACGTTAACCCTACTTTAACCCTGTTTATTGACACAAAATTAACTCTACTTTAACCCTATTTCTTATCCTAAATTAACGCTATCTTAACCCTGCTACTTTACCTATGCTTCTTGACCCTAAATTAAACCTATCTTAACCCTATACTTTAACCATGTATCTTAACCGTACCTTGAATTTACATTAAACCCCGCAGCTTAAACCCACTTTAACCCTACCTTCAATCTATTTTAACCCTATACTCTTACCCTACAGCCTTGTATCTTAATCTACATTAACTCTACATTAACCCTTCATTAACCCTAGCTTAATCCTGTATTTTAACTCTATTTCGGCACTGTTTTTAACCCTACCATAATCTTTTATTAATCCTTTACTAACTCTACCTTAACCCTGTATTTCAACACTACTTCAGCCATGTATTTTAACCTTACCTTATACTGTGGGGGTAGAGACCCAAAAAAATTTTTTTTTGCTAATTTTTGACATCGGAGTGATTTTCAATGTATTTTTGTCAGCTGATCACGATACCGGGTTCCAAAATTGCCTAGCATGTCAAGATTTTGAGAAAAGTAGGGGTAATGACCAAAAAACGTGTTTTTAAGATTTTTTTCCCAAAATCCTGACGCGGTAGACAATTTTGGTATCCAAAATCGTATTCAACGGACAAAAATACATATTGAAAATCACTCCAAAACACTTTTTTCTTAAAGCAAAAACTAAAAAAAATAAATTTTAATCTAAAATCAAAATCTTTCAAAAAATTAAAAATTTTATATATAACTAAAATCTGTTTCTAAATTTAAGGACATAATTCAGAAAACTAAAAAATTTAATAATAGTGCAAAAAAAATTATATTATAATTATCGAATTTTCAATATAATAATAAAAGGGTTTTAAAAAAGACAAAAAAAAATGCGAAAGAAATATATATAACGTTCTAAATGTTGAATTTTTCTTGATAAAATATAGAAAAACGAAACTCACAAGGGATAATTTTGAAGATCAGATTTAGAGATTACCGGTTTCCCCTCCCTTCTCAATTTATATATATATATTTTTTGTGCTCCCTATATATGGAAGCAACGCCCTGTCTCTTATATAAATTTCTAGGGGAGCATAGCCAATCTAACTGTGCAGCCCTTTCGTTTGAAATCACCCTTTGCTCCATTTTTTTTTTCTTAAAAACTGAAAATTCGTTGGTAACAGACATATATAAAAAAAACCGCTGTGTGTGAAGGAAAAAAAAGAATATACAGGACACGCTTTTTGCTATTGTTCCAAGCAGCGAGGAAGCACGCGATCTAGATCACACTCACAAACACACACAGAGACGATAACAAGGGGGGAAAAATAAGAATAGGAATCCTTTAACCACGAGAGAATTTTATTTAAGTATATATAGTAAAAAGTATATATATAGAAGGGTGTGTTTACCCCTTCAGAAGAGGTGTTCACAAGTAGGGGAAGTAGTTCGCACTTGCTTTTAAAAAAGCTGTTTC